TGGCCTGAACTCACAGAGGTCCTCCTGCCTCTGCCTCCCGAGTGCTGGGATTAAAGGCGTGTGCCACCACGCCCGGCTCACGTAAATTTTTTGAAAGGAATGTCGGGATTTTCTGTCCGCAGCTCAGGTAGGAGAAGTTGTACTTTGTACAGAGATGAGACACTGAGGCTTTTCTCCAGGAAGCAGCTTATTCATGCCTAGCTGCTAGTTCTGTGGGTTCATACCCAAAAGACAGAGCCTTGAGCAAAGATAGATCCAGCCTTTTTATACTGTTTCCCAGTTCAGTTGGTCTCTCATATATGGTAATATGTATCCTGATGGGTGCTCTGTAAAGTCATGACAGGCAGAATTGTGTGTGTGCATTCACACACAGACCCCACTGCATTGCTTTGTTTTTGCCCTGAGGGGTTCCCACCACAAAATCTTTGACAAGTTCAAGAACATGACAAACCGTATATCCTAGTAGGCTGTTCCCTTCTCCTACCTACATCCTTCCGTGAAGATCTCTGAGAATGTCAGAAGTGGTCCTGGTTTAGAGTCTGGACCTTAAGATATGTTTCTTGACTCATGGGAAGTGTCCTGAGTCGTCTTTCTTGCCATTGCCTAGGGTCATGGACATGCTGCCTCTCACTTCCCTCAACCTCAGACCCGTGGAATCCCTGTGCCATAGCTAATCAAAGGGGAGAAGAGAAGAGACAGAAGCTCCATCCAGGGCCACGACTATAAAGGATGTGGGAATGAAAACTTACACACATGAAGGAGAGATAACCACAACCCTAGGCATCAGCTCTGAGCATCAGCTCTGACCCAGGGGCTCACAGTATTTCCCACTGGATTGGCCATGAGAAGCAATGATTGTGATTTCAGCATGCTTAACCCAGAAAACCTGTCACAGAGAACCTCAGGCTTGTTTCCCAGACTCCATGGGTCCCATCCAAAACAATCTACCTCTCTCCATCAGTGTCAGCACTGGGCTGACCACAGATTCTCTAAGACATCCTAGAAGATCCCTAAGTGACAAATGATAGGATAAAAGAGAGGGACTAAAGTCCTGCTTGCCACATGTGGCCTCTCAAGGTTTGCTGTACTCCAGGAGTGAAGTAAAGGAAGCCTCTCCTCTGGGTGTTCAGAAAATAGACTCCTCCAAGTTTGTGCATCTAAGCTCATGTACTCAACTCCCAGGAAAGACTCATTCCCATTTTTAAAAATTATAACATAAGAGTGAATGAAAGTGAATCAGATTTCTAAACCAATGAACTTGCTACAGATAGCAAATTAGGACGGGCTCTTACCCGTCCACTCCCACATCTCTCTTTCATCTCCTTCCTGAACAGTTAGATGTGAAGGTGTCTAAGGGCAGACAGAGCAAACTAGGCATCTGCTGTGGGCAGTAATACAAGTAAGAGGGTGTTGTCCACATGAGAGGTGGACTGGCAGGAGTCTGGAGGGCATCAAACAAGGAAGGAGGTAGCAAGAGCAGTGGGAGCCTATTACACCATCCATGGATGAAATAAGTGCACACATTAAGGATAGTGAAAGTCAGGTTTTTCTATCAGGGCTGGGAGACACAAGAGAGAATAGGTGGCTCTTGGACTGGAATTAGTTATCAGAGTAGACTGGATTTTCAATAAATGTCTAGATATAGAAATAAGCATGCTCTGGGTGGTCTTGGAGCAATGCCATCCCGGTGATAAAAGGTTTTAAGGCATTCAAAGCCAAGAAAAGATTGATATATTGTTCTAGAATACTAAAGACTAGAGACATGGCAATTAAATGCAACGTGTGTATCTAAACTAGAATCTTTTTGCTATAACAGACATTTTGAGTTAATTGGCACAGGTGGAGTAAGGTCTGAGGTTTTGATAGCAATTAACTTCCTGACTTCGATAAGTTATGGCTAGGTCTTGTCATACCAAGTAGTC